GGTCTAGAAGCATACTGTTGCGCCGTTGTTTAAAACTGAAGATTTAATTTGTTATACCTGTGCCGGTGCTGAGATTAGTCTTCTTCGGCGCCATGATTCGGACCACACCAGTAATACTACACTCCACTTAGCTGCGTACGTCTGTCTTCGGTGTGGCTCGTGAGTTGTGTGGGCCACAATCTCATCGGTACATACATTATGCGCCCCATGTTTTATTTGTCCGCACCCTATGTGGCTACCTCAATCCGTCGTTACTACATGTTTCTGTCTACGGTACTGCTGTATCCTTTTTGGCTCTGGTCGTTTTCCGTGACATTTAGAAATTATGCAGTGCGCTCATGCTGTTGCCTTCGACGGTTTGCAATTGTCCTGCTTTGAAATCCATTTCTCCACTGCGGTACAAAAAGCTCGGAAGTGATAGCAGCATCCTAATGCCCTGCCTCTCAAGAAAACGCCAACGCTCTCCAAAAACAGCTAACCACTTTTATGATTTCTGGGATGAAATCCCCAAGCCGAACAAATTATCATTTTTAGTTGTCCAAACCCTCATGTTACTTCTACAAAAAGTAGTTTCTGAAACAAACAAACAAAATGCTCTCAATTAACGCTAACCATGGCCAAGCTGTTTGATTGATCGACTCAAGTGACTGGTTACCAGACAGACTTGAAAATCAAGTACCATCGAGACATTGAAATAAAACAAAATGGTCAGCACATCTATAACAAAACGTGGCTCCATTACCATACTGATATTGCCCGGGTACTTATACTCACTAAAGAAATTCTCGGAAGAACAATCGGTGACAAGTACATGCCACATGCCATAAAAATGTGGATGATTTTATACATGCTGAGCAACAGCTAACTAGGATAGACTGACGTGAATGGGGTACGTTAACGGCTCACGCAGTTGCTGAACCAATGCCGATAACCTAAGGAGGTAGAAACTTCCCGTTGAAATTAGTTACACAAACGCCACAGTGTGCAACCGGGCTTTGTTAAGTGCCACCAAGAGAATGCGCTGGTTACGTGTGGCAACTAGTTCACTTGTTTCACTATGGCCCTTCGGGCTTCACATCAGACTCCACCGATTGCGCTCCTCCAGAAATATCTCGTGAACAGTCTAATACTTCATAAAGGAAACTACTCACAAGGGTGCTGAAAACCCCTCGACAGCAATTTGGGTTCAAGTAGAACATAAGGTTGACGGAAGCTCTGGGACTGCGCCTAGCTGATGAGCCTCAAGATGTGCGAAACTGGTCCTGATCTGTCGAAGAGTCTTCAGCAAACTTGTGAGTAGATTCCTTTGTGAAAACATACTGCGATATCTCGAATATCCTGCCAACTGAATCATGAGGCGGCCTGCGTGCAGCCGGTCCGCTGCTCGAAAAGGCCAAGTCTCACAGCCATATAACAAGACAGCCCGTACTGTAACTTGATACACACGTCCCTTCAGATTCAGGGATAAACCATTCTGACGCCATAGGTGTCTCAAGTTA